AGATATTACTAAGTCATCACCAGTTGGCATGGTGTGATTATAGAGACAGAACATGTCTGTTCATGACGAGTGAAGTGTGTGGCCCAGGAAAACATTAGAATTTATTGGATTAGGACATTTCAGATGCTTTGAGTCATATGAACCAGGGCTTAACCCACCTACAGATTGGTAGTTATATCCAACAATCCATAATAAACCCAGATACCATCACCTCTCGGGATGAGGCTCTAGGTTTACCAGTCTTCTGATCTGACAGGTCGTTAGAGATGGAATTCGAAAAACTTCTGGTCTAAAGACAAGGAAGGAAGAAAAACCAAGTGCATGTGAGTAAGGCTAATTAAAAGATTTAAACATGTTGAATTTTTCTTTCACCATGAAAACAATTAAAAAGCAAAATTGGACACAGTGCAGATAAAAAGATTTAACTGTACTTAGCTTAACATCTACATTTCTCAAAAGATAAAATGTGAGATTCCTCACTTGATCCTTCTGTTTTTTCTATCACGTGGACTGTGTCCTCTGACGTGATTTCATTCCTTATTGACTCGCCCAGGGGAGCACTTCCACCCAGACTAACAGCTGTGGAGAAGGGGCTGTCACTCTCCACCTCTAACGCCATCACAGCATTTAGCTATCAGTACAGACACATCTACATTTTCTCCCATTTAAAGAGTCTGAAAATCAGGTAACGGCTGACATTTCAGGAAGATGTGCTCTCCAAAATAAAAATCTGATTCTCTCAGACTCACATTATTAGATCAGATTGGTGAGGGCCATTTCTGTTATCATGACTGAGGGAAATACTGAGGTGGAATTTGGCAATATTTCATGAAATTTCTTCCCAGATCAGGAATTTTTGGAAATGGAGGCTCCTGTTATTTTAAATAGGAAATATCTTCCCGTCCAAAAAATAAAACAGAAAAATGGAGATTTTGACTTTTGACATTTGGAATCAAGCTTATCTCCACATTTATACTTCTTACCACACCACAGTTTGTACCCACTGGCATGTCACTGCCCACAGTTCTATGCGTTTTTACCTTTAGAAAACATTTTAAAATCCCAATCTTGCAATCTTGGACTGTATAACACGGAACTTCTTAGGTCAGATGATGTATTAGTCTGTTCTCAAGCTGCTAATAAAGACCTACCCAAGACTGGGTAACTCATAAAGGAAAGAGGTTTCATTGACTCACAGTTCAGCATGGCTGGGGAGGCCTTAGGAAACTTACAATCCTTGTGGAAGGGAAAACAAACACATCCCTCTTCACATGGTGGCAGCAAGGAGAAGTGCAGAACAAAAGGAGGAAAAGCCTCTTATAAAACCATCAGATCTCATGAGAACTCACTATCATGAGAACAGGATGGGGGAACCTCACCCATGATTCAATTATCTCCACCTGATCCCTCCCAGGGCATGTGGGGATTATGGGAACTACAATTGAAGATGAGATTTGGGTGGGGACACAGCCAAACCATATCAGATGATGCACAAACCTTTATTTGATTAAGGGGCTTGTATTAGTCAGGGTCTAATCAGGAAAATGCAATTCATTCTTCTTATTTCAATGAAGACAACATAACGTAGAAAAGGGAATTGGATATATAAAGACGATACAGTGCACAGACGAACAACACGAGATTGCTCCCTCTCTGAAGGCCACAGAGCGAAGGGAAGAGTCAGGCAGTGCTGCTGGACCCCCAGACAGAAGGGAGAACCGGGACAGGTCTCTCCAGGTGGGAGGTGGGGCTACAGAGGACATTCGGACCAGGGTCGAATTGCCACCAGACACAGAGGGACAGGGAAAGTCATCCTCTCACCCTCCAATGCTCTCACTGGAAGAAATCAGCCAGAACCAGCCCAGAAAGAGCAGGAAGGAGTCAGTTCCTGATCTGCACAATACAGAGTGGGCATATTTCATTGACAAAAGGCACATTGACCAAATATGTACAGCACCTCCATACTGGTCACAATGTGGTTTTGAAATACATATACACAAAATGTTAGAAATCATTATATTTGTAGCTACAATGCAAAATTTTAATAAATACTTCTCAAAAATCAGCATAGCAACTAGAATAAGAGAAGGAAAAACATAAAGGCTTGAGTAACCTACTGTGTTTTAATAAATATAGTCACAGAACTATACATGCTAAACTGAATATCCCAAGTTGTCAATTATTCATGATCTATGTAAGCAAATTAAACACATATTAAGCCATGAAAGAATTACTAAATTCCAAACAGTAGGAATCAAATCAATCATATTCATAGGTTATGATCTCCATGGAGAGTATAAAGAGAAGTTTGAAAACATCTTTTGAACTAATTCTTGAATATTTTAAAAGTGAAAATTATAGTCTAGTCAGGGTTAAATAAAAATGATAGAATTTGTCTGGGTGCTGTGGCTCACGCCTGTAATCCCAGCACTTTGAGAGGCCAAGGCAGGCGGATTATCTGAGATCAGGAGTTCAAGGCCAGCATGGCCAACATTGCGAAACCCCGTCTCTACTAAAAAATACAAAGATCAGCCGGGCATGGTGGTGGGTGCCTGTAATCTCAGCTACTTGGGAGGCTGAGGCAGGGAGAATTGCTTGAACCTGAGAGGTAAAGGTTGGAGTGAGCCAAGATAGAACCACTGCACTCCAGCCTGGGTGACAGAGCAAGACTGTCTCAAAAAAAAAATATTTACAACCTCAAGTACTAACTTTTATAACATCAAATTCCTGTAATAGAAAACAGGAAATACTGAAAATAAAATTACTAGTCATTCATTCCTCGATTTACTTCATAAAAAGACACAAAATAATCAATTATGAAAGTAAGATAGAGTCAAAGAAGATTTCAGTATAAAGTAATCAAATTTTAAAAAACAGCAGTATTGATCAAAAACTCATCTTTGAAACAACAATAAATTAAACACTCATTAATTCTGATTAGAGAAAGTGAGAGAATGTATGAATAAATATAATAATGAAACAAAACCAGAACTAAAGATGCAAGAAACTTTCTCAAAGGAATAAAAAAGTTTTTATTACAAAATAAAAAAAATCAAATCAGTGGTTCCTTAGAAGAGTACATATTACAACAATTGCCTTATATTTCTTACAAATTGAAAACTTAATTTTCAGTTTTTACAAATCTCCCTTGAAAACTTGATAAATGCAACTTTTTTCCCCTAGTAAATTCTACCACACCTTTAAGGAATAAATATTTCCTATATTATTTAAATTACTCTAAAACACATTGTCTTAGTTCACTAGGGCTGTCATAGTAAAATACTGTAGACTGTGAGTTATACAATGGAAATTTACTTCTTAGTTGTATAAGCTGGGAAGTCTGAGATCAAAGTTCTAGCTGATGTGGTTTCTGATGAGAGCTATCTTTCTGGCTTGTAGATGGCTACCTATTTGTCCTCACGTGACCTTTTCTCAATGGTCAGCTGCAGAGAGAGACAGAAAGAATGCTGTCTGGTCTCTCTTCTTTTAATACCGCCAATCTACTTGGATCACAGCCCCACCCTTATGACCTGATTAAACCTAATTACTTCCAAATACAGGCATACTGGGGATTAGGGCTTCAACAGGTAAATGTGTGGAGCAGGGTGACAGGACAAATACTCAGGTCATGCATACTTAAAAAGAAGAGCAAATTTTTTCAACTCATTCTATAAAAAATCTAACTTAGAAACATACATGCAAAAATTATTCAATTAAATATTAGCAAATTAACTCCTGTATTACAATAAAAGATTAATGCAAGTAGGATTTATCTCAGGAATAAAAGAATTGTTCAATATTAAGAAATGTGCAACTGTAGACTGTGATAAACTGATGCTTTATATTTCCCCAAAATAGAAGCTTCTTAATCCTTATACAGTAACAGATACGTGTTTGTAGATAAATGAGAGAAATAAAGGCTTTTCTTGACTGCTGAATACCACATGCCTTTGAGTCTGCACAGTTGTTTAAGGTGAGTGTCTTCGGTACTTGCTTTACTGTAAAGTTTTTGTAGCTTCAGTAGAGACATTTCATTTCTGCTGACATTATTTGTGGGTAAATGCTTTCATCTGTTATCAGCACTTGGCGGCTATTGTTCCTCTTAAATGCTTAAATTGCACTTATTATGTATAGGTGATGAATTTAGTAGCTTGGCATACTAGCTTTAAGCAAGAAGCTGTAATTTCTAATAAACGAAGTCAAAGGCCAACTAATTGCAGAATAAATAACCTAGCAACAACTCAATTTATATGGAATTTAATTGAGATTTCAGAATTAAAATGGAATGTAATATTATATAGAAAGTGTCACTTTCAAGGAGATCAGAATTTTCTCTATAAACAAAATATATTTTTCTATTAAAGATCAAGAATATTCATTTATTCTTTATCTCTGCAGGCGAGTCCTCAATCTAGGCATTAGCCAGCTTTAGCCTGGATTACCTCAGGATCCTCCATACTTCAAACCTACCAGTCACTCATATTTTATATCAATGCTAAATGCTGCCTGCTTATTTTTTCTTTTGAGTATGTCATTCATTTTAAACCAATACACTTTTCCATGGCAAATCTTATCTAAATCTACTTAGCACTTTTTCTTCACACAAACATTGTTTTTCCAAAAATTGAATAATAACTTTAGTCTACAAAAATATTTTAGTTTTTCTTCATTTTTCTCCTTTCCATCCAAAATAAAATGACTTTGGAAAACTAGAGATATCAAATGGAGAAACAATGTGTCAGTTATTTGTGTAAGTCACAAAAGAATTGTGTATTTTGTTTAAAAAAACTCAAAAGAAAATCAACTTAAAGTTAAGCTGACCTGTGAACCAATGATGGAAAGAGGCTTGGTAAAATTATTATCTCAATCATAGTGTACAATGAGGCGAGAGCCATTTAGAAACCTCATGTTAGAGGAACCTATTAAATATAAATGGGATTCAACAGATTCATCACACAACAGATCCTTATTAAGAGCTATGTTTTTGACACACTGTTCTAGGAACATCGGGCAGAACACTGAACAAAACAGACATAAATTTTGTTCTTGTGAAGAGGACAGTATCGAGGGAAGAACAACATTTCACAAATTATTACAGGTAAATGGAGTATTTAAATAAAATTGTCATTGTTGGTATGGGCAGCATATTATAGGCAGACCTAATATTGTTGAAGAGTTCAAAGCATCTCAGCTTTGCAACCTAGCCTGTAGGATTTGGGGTGAATCATTTATATTTCCTGATGTTTATTTCCTTATCTATAGTTGAGATGAATATCTTACAGTGTTCTGATGACATTTAAATGACATTACAGTGTCAAATCACCTAACAGTACCTGATATATGGTAATATGAATAGCTAAAATTTGCTCAGTGAGCACTCTATCCCTAGCAAAACTTATGTATCCAATATCAAGTTCTCAAAACAACCTATGAGTTTAGGTTATGCTATTCTTTTGTCCCTCCCTCACCATTTATGAAGCAGTAAACTGAGACAGAGAGAGTTAAGTGGTCTTCCCAAATTCTCAGATTCAGTAGGTGGAAGATCAGATTCAGTAGGCAGTCTGATTCCAAATCTAAGTTCAGAATCCTAATCTGTGTTGCAGTAGCCCCAACTTTACCCAGGGAGCAGGAGAAGCTCGGCCCCACTCAAGGTCAACATGAAGTCCCCAGCAGGAACCCAGGTGCCTGGCATCAAAACAGCACAATAATTTCATTGCTTGTCCTAAAAAGATGCTGATATTGTATTGAACTTTAGAGTCTCTGATCCCTTAATGACTGTAAGTTGAGACAATCAGTTTATGAGTTTATCTGTCTTATTATTATTATTATTTTTTGGAGGTGACTACTTCCTTGTTGATTGTTGTTATTGTAGTTCTAACTGTGAAAACAAGCATCTGTTTATGTTGTTGACATCTTTTAGTTCTGGGAGTGACGCTGGAGACATTGTTGAAATAACACAAAGGTAAATATTTCAGACCGAGGTGTTGTTTGTACCATCTGGAGAGGGTTATCCCCGCCAGTCCCTCACTTGTGAACAAGGGAAGAAAACCTGGCAACCTCCCTGCTTAGGAACATATGTTTCGGCCAGAGGATGTGAAAAGTTTAATGAGCAGAGAGAGAGCTTCTATGTGGGCATCCTCTTACGGCGGAAGTGTTTGGACCCACAGATTTTGGACCAGGTTCCGGACACAGAGCAAAGGAACCAGGGGCCCTGGCTGCAGTGACGGAAAGGGTCTCTCTCTGTGCTGTCGAATACCACAGCCACTCATGAGATGTGGCTGTTGCACACCTGAAATATGGCCATAGCGATTAAGGAACTAATGTTTACAATTTTATTTAGTTATATTACTTTAAATATAACATGTGGCAAATGCTATCACACTAGACAGCACAGGTCTAGACAGCAGTTTCCATAATTTCAAACTTTTACGTGCTGGGGGATAAGAAAAAGGGATCGGGGAAAGACTCCCCAGCCCTGAGAACTGGCCCGGTATCCGGCTTGTTGGGCGATAGCAAGGCCGGAAGTTCTTAAGCGTGCTCAGTTCATCACATCCTTCCTGTTTGAGTTTTTTGTTTGTTTGTTTTTTGTTTATTTTTGGTGTTTGTTTGTTTGTTTTTCATAGTGCTCCAAAAGCTGAAAGAAGCACGTAACCACTCCATGTGCTAAGTAGTTAGGTCCAAACAATGTAATGGCTTTAATAGAATTCTCAGCAGACATTGCTGATCTTCCCCCCAAAATTCAAATTATGCCAAGGTGCTCTTGTGAATGTACTTTGGAGTCCAGAGATGCCTCTACACACTGTTTCAGAACCATGAAGCCAGGCCATGGGTTTTTCTACTGAACACGAGCAATTCCCCAGAATGTCAACCTCAGACAGGTCACTCCATGACGGTTGGAACAAAAATAAAACATGGATACCAAGCTCCCACTAAATGACCAAACACTTCTCCTTCCTGACCAATGTGAGCACCGCCACTGATGACACCTCAAGACCCACTTCAGTGCTCCTTCCTCCTAAGCAAAAAGTGTTTAGAAAATTGTCATCAGCCGTGCTTTCTGGCAGCGTCCAATTCCAAATTAAACCTCGTTTCCTTAGAGTCTCTATTCCTTAATGTCTTATTTTCCCCCCAAATCAGAAGCCCAAACTGTATACAAGCCCACGCTAACACTCCCTTACTGAGACATCCCACGATTGCCTATGGCATGCAAGTTAATACACCTACGTTTGCTTGACTACAGGTAAAACAATGTTGTGTTTCTGATGGTTTGTGGACACCGGGATTTATCGGGATGGACTCTAAAACCTCACATAGAATGACAGTTTATGCAAGAATCATGTTGTATTTTATCAAAGGGATGATGTTTCCCTGTGTAACTTCACTTTCAGAGAGCTCTATCTGTCCCTGTGTAAACCAAGAACCGTTGCTTCAGTCTTTTGCAACAGCCTAGTATAACAGTAGATTGAAAAAAAAAGTTCACCTTTTTTACGTTTTCTGAAATAACAAATACTTTCTTTAATAAAATCATTGTTCAATTACCTCCTCCAGTCAATTATTCCAAAAGTCTGTACATACAAACAGATAATGGCCAGACCACATACAAAAATGGAATCTAACCCACAATCCGCAGCAACTGTACTAGGAAAACCACTCATTTCCTAGAGTAACCAACCCAGGAAGCCAGCCTACCACCTATCAGTCGGGCCACACTAGCAACTTAGCCAGGAAGCCAAATAAGACCCCCTGTAGCAACTGGCCCCAGATGGCCATGACTTGATTAACAACTGACAGGTTCCCTAATTTTTGACCCTGTTTTTAATGTAGGACCCACCAGGAAAAGTCAGATATGTACCTTTAACCAATCACATAGGATTCCCTCTAGTCAGCCCACCAACAGCTTCCCCAGACCAACAGCCTCCAACCACAACACACACCCTCCAACCACAACACACCTGAAGCCTTCCCTGTTTCCTGCTATAAAACTTTCCACTCTACTGCCTGCCTTTGAGTCTCTGCCAAAGCGTAAATGACGGTGCTGACTCCCTTGCTATAGCAAACTTTGAATAAATAGCCTTTGTCCATGCTCGTTTCGTTGTTCTTGGTTTATTTCCACAACTATATTTAAATTCCTACTGCATATTTCTAAACTACCCTCAAGGAAGTTTGCACCAATTTATGTACCCATTAATGTGCTTGAGATTTCTGTTTCCTCAAAGCCTCACTAAATCTTAAGATATATCAACCTTTTTAACCTGGCTGATCTGTTAATAGGCAATGGCTCATGCTTTTACGTACATTTATTTGATTGCACAGATGTAAATCATCTATTCTTGTATTTGGCCTATTTTATGGGAAGACAAGAATGTTCAGTCCACCTTCTAACCCTATAATTACTATCTATAATTTCTACTGAATTCGTACCTATAATTTTCTACTGTATGTCCCAGAAGAAATTCTGCTGAGAGTTTTACTTCTTAAGAGTTATACCTAGAGCAGGAAATTCCCATCAAGAAAATGTATAATGCTAGACCTAGGAAGTGAAAACCATGTCCATAAAAGAGATCTGAATTACAATCCTATGGAGCACGTGAATGCCAAATCTGGATAGATCCAATGAATATCCTGGAATTGTAAGCAATGAAACAGGAATTCAGAGAAAGGAGACAGGATGGAACAAATGCAAAGGAGACAGGATGGAACAAATGCAAGAAGGAATTAATCAAGAGTAATCAGGATTGGCTGGGCGTGGCAGATTGTTAAGCAGTGCTTTGAATGATGTCTAAGTTTTGCTTCTCATCTTTATGGGCTGCAGGACATCACTGCATGGTAAGGTGGGCGATTCTGAGTTCCAGTAACTTAAGTCTAATGCACATATGAGCTCCAACATGTGTAGGATCTATGTAGAATCAGGTACTAAGAGTACTTGATGGAGAGTACAAAGAGGTTTCACTTCAAATCACTCACTAGAGGACGAGATGTATTTTGGTGGTTTCTAAAACTATGACATTTTGAAGTTGGTTCTGATTTCACGTTATGGTTTCAACTGATCAAAGGAAATTATCTTCTTGCAGATTCTGCTTATCTTTTGTGATCTGCACCGTTCTAACCTACATTCTCTTCACTGGAATTGTCTGCTCAGTGTGTTTTGGAACCCTGTTTTGGACAGCTTCAGTTTGCTTACTTGCTTTGCATTCACTCTTTTTGAAGTGACCACAAAATCCTGCATCAAGGGTCTCTGCCAAGATCAACATTTTCTCTTCTCTGCTCTATAGTGATGATGGACACTTTGCATGCTGGGGCTGAAGGAGGGACTGACTCCCTTCTGCAAGCCTGCTTTGTCTTCTTCTCATTCCCCTTTCATTCTGCCACTGTTCTGGTAGCAGTGCTCTTTAGTCCTTTAAGATTCAATGGAGCTGGTCATTCCAGGACATAGCACTAAATGCAAGGTGTCCTGGATGGGACTCTTTTCCAAAGGCACAGATGTCAGAGATTTGTAGCTTGCTTTATCTTTTTTTTTTTTTTTTGAGATGGAGTTTCACTCTTGTTGCCCAGGCTGGAGTGCAATAGCATGATCTCGGCTCACTGCAACCTCCTCCTCCCGAGTTCAAGAAATTCTCCTGCCTCAGACTCCCAAGTAGCTGAGATTACAGGCATGCACCACCACGCTCAGCTAATTTTGTATTTTTTGTAGAGACGGGGTTTCTCCATGTTGGTCAGGCTGGTCTCCAACTCCTGACCTCAAGTGATCTGCCCGCCTCGGCCTCCCAAAGTGCTGGGATTACAGGTGTGAACCACCGCACCTTGCCGAATTACAGCTTTTAATCTTATGGATTTCCCCCCAGTTTTTATCATGAGAGTATTTTGAATCAGTATATATTTGTGTATCTGTATTTACATTTGTGTACCTTCCCACACTGTTAGAATAATTCACTGATCAAAGTTTTTTGGTGCCTGTATCAGCTCTGGCACCTTCGAGGGTGGACGTCCCTGAAGTACTGCAAGAGTCATTGTACATAAAAGTCAGACGAGTCTTACCCTTGAAACTGTGAGTGTGATATTTGCACCACGATCATCCCTCCTCAAAAATTTAAAGGGCAGTGGATGCTTTTGACGAGGCAAATTTTTATTTTTTGAGCTTCGGAGACTTCCAGCAAATGTCTCTAAGGAACAAAGGGGAATAAACTGAAACCTTTCTTCCTGGGGGATTCTATGCCCAGTTGTTGATGTTACTGCTGACTTGTTAATAGATGGACGCAAACTCCCCTTAGGGACTCTGAGTTTGAATGCTTGCCAATCCAAAACTTGGACCAGCTTTTGGCACCTACCACATTGGCCTGGGGTAATACAGCTAGTAAAAGTTTAAACCACAAGCACACAATGCCAAATCTTGCAACTCTGAGCTTATTTGAAGGAATAATCCCCTTTTTCTTGGATTTTCCTCCCTTTTTCCTCTTGGAGAATACCCTCGGGCTCTTTTAATGCCATATTTTTATATAAGTTATGAGTATATTCAAGGTCTTCTTTCTATAGGGCCAGACCCTTTTTCACAAGTAGAAAGTCAGAGTGAAATTGTTGCCTAAAGGAAGCAAACACAACAGTAAATCTTAGACGTGTGAAATCCCAACAATGTGAAGCCGAGAAAGGAATAGATGCTGTATGTGCAGGTAACCCATCAAAAGAAAAAAGGGACCGGGCGCGGTGGCTCACACCTGTAATCCCAGCACTTTGGGAGGCCAAGGCTGGCGGATCACGAGGTCAGGAGATTGAGACTACCCTGGCTAACACTGTGAAACTCCGTCTCTACTAAAAAAAAAATAATAATAATAATACAAAAAATTAACTGGGTATGGTGGCGGCGCCTGTAGTCCCAGCTACTCGGGAGGCTGAGGCAGGAGAATGGCGTGAACCCAGGAGGCGGAGCTTGCAGTGAGCCGAGATCGCGCCACTGCACTCCAGCTTGGGCGACAGAGCCAGACTCCTTCTTTAAAAAAAAAAAAAAAAGAAAAGCAAAAAGGAAGGTTTTTGTGTGTGCATGCATTTGTGTACCATAGATTCAAATTGATTAGTTAATACCCTGTCAGGAAAGTGAATTTAACAAATCAATAAATTATGAGTAGAATTAATTAAACTGGCATCATAATTAAGGCACAATATGTTACAGAGGCTTATGAATGCTTGAGTTTCACAGCAGACCTGTCAGTGCGATCCCGAATCATTTATTTGCTTCTCGTTCTTTCTGGACACAGGAGTCTTTTGCTTTACCATATCTAAAAGGTAGATAATTCAGTTAAGGCTGATGAGACATTAACTGTCATTCTCATTAAGACATAACGAAATTTGGCTAATAAATCACTTTCAATATTATAATTTAAACAATGAAAACAAAAACCAATATATGCTTATTAGGAAATATATATATGTACACTTATATAATTAATTTGGTGATTTATGACTGAGTTCCTTAGAGATGTTTACAAATTCATCCACTGTCCTTGAATCACAGAATTTGCATTTGGCTTCTCTCATTTAGCTGAAAGGGGCTGAAAAGTTCAACTGGCACTTAAGGGCCTAGATGGTCACATTTTTCAACAGATTTGTGGGAGAGTAAGTTATTGTACTTAAGGTCAATAGGAATTTATGCTCAGCTAGAGAACTGTGACACTGGAGATTTCAAGCCACTCTGTACAGGAAAGCAGTAGCGTTGTTTGGGGAGGGATCACAAGCTGGTTTCCTATGGGGATGGAGCATTGGCTGGTTTTCCTTGGATCAGAGCTGCATTTGATGCAGCTGTAATGAAGAATACATGACATCTCATTTAAAGTGATTGTATACCCATACTCTGATATATATGGATATATATGTGTGTGTGTATATATATATGTGTGTGTGTGTATGTATACACACACACTGACAAACCCCGGTGTGTAATGTTCCCCACCCTGTGTCTAAGTATTATCATTGTTCAACTCCCACTTATGAGTGAGAACATGCCGTGTCTGGTTTTCTGTCCTTGTGATAGTTGGCTTAGAATGATGGTTTCCAGCTTCATCCATGTCCCTGCAAAGGACATGAACTCATCCTATTTTCTGGCTGCATAGTATTCCACGGTGTATATGTGCCACATTTTCTTAATCCAGTCCATCATTGCTGGATATTTGGGTTGGTTCCAAGTCTTTACTATTGTGATTAGTGCCACAATAAACATACGTGTGTATGTGTCTTTATAGTAGCATGATTTATAATCCTTTGGGTATATACCCAGTCATGGGAACACTGGGTCAAATGGTATTTCTAGTTCTAGATCCTTGAGGAATCACCACACTGTCTTCCACAATGGTTGAACATGATTGACACTCCTACCAACAGTGTAAAAGCGATCCTATTTCTCCACATCCTCTCCAACATCTGTTGTTTCCTGACTTTTTAATGATCGCCATTCTAACTGGCATGAGATGGTATCTCATTGTGGTTTTGATTTGCTATTCTCTGATGACCAGTGATGATGAGCATTTTTTCATATGTTTGTTGGCTGCCTAAATGTCTTCTTTTGAGAGGTGTCTGTTCATATCCTTTGCCCACTTTTCGATGCGTTTTGTTTTGTTTTGTTTTTTCCTGTAAATTTGTTTAAGTTCTTTGTGGATTCTGGATATTAGCCTTTGTCAGATGGGTAGATTGCAAAGATTTTCTCTCATTCTGTAGGTTGCCTATTCACTCTGATGGTAGTTTCTTTTGCTGTGCAGAAGCTCTTTAGTTTAATTAGATCCCATTTGTCTATTTTGGCTTTTGTTGCCATTGCTTTTGGTGTTTTAATCATGAAGTCTTTGCCCATGCCTATGTCCTGAATGGTACTGCCTAGGTTTTCTTCTAGCGTTTTTATGGTGTTAGGTCTTACATTTTGCATGCCCTAGACATGCTGAATCTATTTAATTTTTACAATTGCAATAACCATTCTTTCTATTTGCAATGTACTTTGTACAAGTAAAGGTTCCCTGAATTTGGGAAATTTAACTTTGTTAAAATGTTCTGATGAGTTCTTAAGGAATTAAATAACTATTTTTGGAAATTAATTCAAAGAACATAGTGAATAATTAAGAATGTGGTTCAGGCCAGATGTGTGGCTCACATCTGTAATCCCAATGCTTTGGGAGGCCAAGGAAGGAGGATCATTTGAGGCCATGAGTTCGAGACCAAACTGGGCAAATAGCAAGACTCTCTCTCTACAAGAAAACCAACAATAAATGTTAGTCTCAGCTACTCAGAGGGCTGAGGCAGGAGGATTGCTTGAGTCCAGTGGTTTCAGGTTGCAGTGAGCTGTGATCAGGCCACTGCACTTCAACCTGGGCAACAGAGTGAGATCTTGTCTCAAAATAAATAAATAAATAAATAAATAAATAAATAAATAAATAAATAAAGTGGTTCACTCAACATTCTAGAAATATCTCATAGATCTAAGCAGAAAAATAGACTACCTCTGATGTCAGAGATAAAAATGATCACAACAAATGTCATTTATACGTAAGTTATTTGTGAGGAGGCACCTTCTATAATTTACTAAGAAAATAAATTACCTGAAAAAACTCCCTCAACAAAGTTACTAAGACAGGCTGGTTAAAGAAAAACCTCACACACTGCCCAAAATAAGCCAAAAAATTATTCAGCAAGTTTAATGCCAAGACTATAAATGACTTAACACAATTTAATGAAATTTAAATACAGTGAAAGGGTAAAGCTTTGTTACACAAATACCTATTTCAACATTTGAAGTTATTGAGTGAGGAAAAAAATGCAATGACCTTACTTAGGCGTTTATCTTCATAAGCTTTTTCTGCTCATTTAATGGATGATTATTATGTATGTATACTGTTAAGACAAATTCATCTTAGGAAAGTATTTGGTATTTTAGCATTTTCCTCAGTGCATATAAAGAAAAACTTTAGATATTGGACAAATCTCTGATTTTCCCTGTTTTGAATATTATACATGGTCTACTCTCATCTCTTCCTTTTTCTTTCTCAATTTCTGCATACATTAAGAAAATGAGGTAATCAATGAATGTATTCCTATACAATAATGATGGTATTAGCTAAATTGCAAGGACATGAACTTCTGCCACTAGCCAGTTCTGCCACTGAACTGCCATTTGAAAAGAAATCAGGAAGAGAGAGAGATGGATGAGTTTTTCCATTATGGATCATAGAAAAATGTTGTTTCAGTGTAGTAAAGACATTTATTTTACTAACGATTAACTACAAAACAATCATGTTTTTATTGTTTAAAAACATTTTATTTACAGGTATGTAAATAAAAACAAGGTAAGAAAAAAGTCATCCATCATCTACCCTTGCAGAGAAATCCACTTCTGTATATAAAAATACAAAAATGCTGCCTGTGCTGTTTTATGTCTTATCTTTGTATTTAACAATGTATTGTGAATATCTTGCCAAGTCAGAAAATGTATTTCTATCCCCACATTTTCATGGGCATATTGTACAACTGTGCCGTGATTCTTTAACCAGTCATCTGTTTGCTCATTTTCATTTTTGCCTATCATAACAAGACTGTAGTGCTCTCCTTGTAGCTATTTTGTTGTATAAATATCTTCAATTATTTCCTTGAGATAGTTTCCTAAAAGCAGAATTGCTGAGTCAAGGGGTATAGGGGTTTGATAAATATTGACAAATTGCTTTCACAAAGTTTGTGCAAACTTAGAAGCCTACTAGCAGTAAAAAAGATTTCCATTTCCCCACATCCTTCTTGACATTATTATTAGTATTCTTATTAATCTGCACCATTTTGTGGACAAAATGTATCTCTTACATTTAATTCTTATTTCTTAAAAGTAAGTTTGAACAATTGTATATATGTATTAGGCATTTGTGTTTAAAAGAATCATGTAGCATATATTTGAATGACTGTCTTTTGAAAGACCATACAGCATATATTTGGATGGTTATTTTTTAATTATGTAGCATATATTTGAAATGTCTGTAGAACACTAAAGATCTATTTTCCACCAAAGAATAAGGTAATAAACAAGCTATAATTTTATTGGGTGACCAAATAACACTAAAATATAAATATTTAATTTTGACAACAGAAACACAGACACAAACTACTCATGTTTAGCAGCTTAAAGTATTTGTTTATGAAGCAGAAGAACGTATGAGCAGGTAAGCAAAATCCAATTATTCTTCTTATTAAATGGGTTTATAAATTGATTGATGAAGATAGATCCATCAAAGAGAACTGCTGAAAGGTTGGACTGTTCTGGTCTTGTAATATTTCTATCTATCTTCCAGGGAAGTTTCATATTCTAGGAACCCTTTTTCAGGATTCTTCACCAACTGAAAACTGCCACATACAAAAAAGTGGCAGATTGAGATAAGGCAACTCAAGGCAGCACCTGGAGAACAGAGGCTGCTGAGGAAGGCCTCATACCATCAGCTACCAGAGCCTCCAAGAGAGCCTGGCCCTTCTCACTGGAGAGGGGATGGCAGAGCCTGCCTGGACCACGTCCTCCTTAGGGGAGGAGAATAGGAGGGGATGGAGAAAGGGAAAGGTTGAGGAATTGTGACAAAAAGAGTAGAATCAATAACATGAAACTGTCTCAATGAAACATAAAGATGGGCTAAAGCCCCATTGTTATGTCTTTAAAGTTTATTTAATTAATACGAATTTTGTCCTGTATAATTTTTATAGAAAATATTCAACAAGGAAAAAATAAACACCTTTTTTTCTAAGTATATCACATAGCAGATCTTTGTTTTAAGTGAAACTATAGGAACAAAAATGTGAAGGTAGAATGCCAAAGGAAAATAAATGGATGCCTTGGAAGAAAATCCCGTTCCATAATCCCACAAGGCAATTACAGAAGGTCCAGGCTGGCTTTGCACATTTGTTTGCTTGCCTTGGCTAACACTGCCAGTATACTATGAATTCAGGGTGGGGGTTGATCACTCTGTGGATTCCCCAGGGTACCCGGAGAGAGGGTTTCTCATATCTAGAAGTTTTAAAAACAAAAGCTGGAGAAAAGCTCAGTCTGATTATTCGATGGCTTGGAAATTTGTGGACCTTTATAAAGAACACGACCTTGCAATTTTATGACACGTACAGAATCCTTTCACATACGTGAATTGTCAATGAGGCATGTGATCATCACTTTACAGTTGGAGAAGCTGAGCCACGGCATTGCCGGGTGATTTAGCAGAGCTGTGGTTTTAATGACAGAGCTGGGACTCAAATTCAGATATGATGATGCCCCCAGTGCAGTTTTATTTTCATTACAACTTAATCAATCCACGTTCAATTAGAAATAGTGTGTGGTGAATTTCAATTTTTATTTCCTACTGTCTTTTCTTCCATCTTCAAACACTTTGGAAGTCTATCAGTATGCATGTTTGTTGAACATCTTGATTTTCTGACTGGTTAACAGGCAGGAGTTTGCTTTTATCCACCCTCAATTATTTGGAGGCAAAGAAATGGATTTTGACCTTCAGGAATTTTCTAAGATGCCAGGTACAAAAGCCCCAGGCTGGCTTTTTTTTTTTTTTTTTTTTTTTGTCATTCTTCTCAGAGGTAGAGGTGAAATTAATGTAGCTCTTGGCTATATTAGGTGACTAATGGAAGAAATCAATTCAGAAAATAAGATGTGTCTTATTTGTGAATGCCAAAGATAAGAACAGAGTCCTTTATGATTAATATCACCTGGGTGCAATGCATCATTTCCTGAATGACATAAATCACATTTGATTGAAATAAAATGGAATCTCTATCATCCCAGTAAAGCATGAAGATATCAATATGTTCCTGTTTTAACAGAAAAATATCAGTTTCCACTTGTATAGATATTTCCCACTCATAGTAATAATTACTATATATGAATGAATCTGGGCAGACTCTTTTTAACTAATTAAGACAATGTGATGAGGTGCTGAAGAAACGAAGCTAGTGAGGTATGTGGGGAGATCTCTGGAGGGCCTTCCCTGTGGTAGGGAAAGAGCATGGGTTCAGTTTCCAGATGCTGAGAGGGAGATGCTTCTAATGGAGTCATTAGACATGCACTGGAAATACAGATGCAGAGCTCAGAATAACAATCTCAGCAGGAGACACAAAGTAGCAACACTCTGGGTATTAGTCATTGCAGTTACAGGTTTGCATGAGTTTGCTTAGAAAAAGAGTCGCATAAGAAAAGGTGGCTTGGAACCGAAACTGGAACAATATCAATGTTCAAAGAACCAACTGAGAAGGACATTCCACTATAAGACACATGCACACGTATGCTTCTTACAACACCATTTACAATAGCAAAGACTTGGAACCAACCCAAATGCCCATCAATGATAGAATGAATAAAGAAAATGTGGCACATATACACCATGGAATACTGTGCAGCCATAAAAAAGAAAGAATTCATGCCCTTTGCAAAGGACATGGATGAAGCTGGAGCCCATCATTCTCAGCAAACTAACACAGGAATAGAAAACCAAACACTGCATGTTCTCACTCATAAGTGGAAGTTGAACAACGAGAACACATGGACACAGGGAGGGAAAAAGTCACACACCAGGGCCTGTTGGGGGGTGAAAGACAAAGGGAGGAAGAGCATTAGGACAAATACCAAATGCATGCTTAAAACCAAAATGATGGGTTGATAGGTATAGCAAACTGCCGTGGCATATGTTTACCTGTGTAACAAACCTCCGTGTTCTGCACATGTATCTGAGAACTTAAGGTAAAATAAAAAATAAAAATAAAAAAGTAAAAGTGAGACATGAATAACTCTCCCTGGACATTATAAAGATCACACTATCTAGCTTTATCTAATCAGTCATACCTGATGGCAATGGAGAATGAGGAATGCCCAGCCGAGAGGGGGGCTGGCGCGCATGCGAGAGAGAGATTGTGTGTGAGAGAGAGAGAGACAGAGAGAGAGAGAGAGAAAGAGAGAGAGTGGTGGGGGAGAAGGGGAGGGAGAGGGAATACAGTGTCAAAAGGAGGAGAGTGTTCAACTGTGCTGAAGATGATGGAAAAGCCAAGTCAGAAAGTCACCCACTGACTTTGTGGAACTGGGTGTTATTTGGGCTCATGGAAGCAGCAGATTCAGTTGAGCAGAGGCACAGAACCAGAGGAGATGGCAGTGAAGACCGTTAACTATCACATAAGAATATTTCTTTAAAAAGGTTGGACTCTGATTAAATTAAACTAGATACTGTGATCCTTATAATGTCCTGAGAGAATCACTCTTGTCCCATTTCATTTTTAAAATAGGAGAAACTAAACCACATTTCTATAGGGATGGGAGGACTAAGTAGGATGAGAAAAGCTGAAAATACAAAGTAAAAATAATCAGTAGAGTAACTTTATTAAGAAAGCATGAATAGAGTTATTCCTAGAGGAGGCATTGGTTTCCATTGTTTACCAATAGAAGCAGGGCAATAGATGGGGAGAAGATGGGCACCAAATATTTAGATGTATTTATAGATGCAGGAAATTTGACGGGATTTCTGTCTAATAAGTTCTTTTTTCATGGTTAAGTAACAAGAGCAGTGATCTCCTGAGATTCAAGTTGGAGGAGGGAAGGGTAGAGGTTAGAAAGTTTGTAACAGTTGAAATAACTATTTCAGAGAGTGAGAAAGCAAACCAACCAGAGAAAGCTGGACAAGCCAGGCAGTTTTGAGGGAGTCCGTCCTTTTTAGTGCCTATGAATTACAGAGGTGTCATTTTGCCAGGTAGTGTAAATATGAACCCAATGTTCCCTATGAGAGAAATTTTGATTCTAAGGGAAGCAGAAGTTAGCAAAAGTTCATGACCTGGGGCCCAAGAAGGAATTTTAGAATTTGATAAAGTTGGCTAAAAGAAAAAAATAATCTGACAACTCGAAATAGGTTCAAAGTTAAATCATTTCTGTGTTACTGACAACGTAACATGAATGAAAATAGAGGCCAGTTCTCAAGTTGCAAGAAAATCCGGAAACAAAGGGAAATAGCAGTTCCTAACACCACTTGGGTGCTGGGGACCAAAATCCAATTTACCGCATGGTGGAAGAGCTTGTGTTTAATAGATAGAAAGGGACATTTATATAGCCAAATGAAAGTATAAGCACCGTCCTCCTCCACCTGACATTAACCTGGACTCTTCCAACCACTTGCTTTCTCTACCCAAGCCCTTTAAGATCTCTGGCTGGGCAGGAATGGGAGGCTTTATGTAGAATTCTGCCACCTAACAAATTATACCCCCACCTACTCTACCCCTTCCTCAGACACTTTGAACTCAATTTCAAACATCATATCATTTTGTCCTTGAATATTACTATTGTATCTTCAGAAAATAAGGACTCAAATAAACAAGCAAAATATTATTATCCTTCCAAAATTAATGTTAACTCACACTGTAATACTGCTAAATATCCAGGCAGTGTATACATTTTTCTCAAGTGGAAAAATTAATTTTATATTGTTTGCTTGGGTCAACATCCAAATAAAGATAATTATCTGATGTCTTTTTTCAAACCATAATAACACCTCTTTTTTTCTGCTTTACTTTGTTTTGTTTTGCGATTGCTCACAATTTATGTGTTGAAGAAACCAGATTGTTCTGTAGAATTTCCATCAGCCTGGACTCTGTTCATTGCATCACTGTGGTGTTACCTAAAACATTCCCCTTCTTCCTGTATTTCCAGTAAATTGGTAGATTGGAACAAATGCTCGTTCCAGGTTTGATTCTTTGGCAATGATACTTCAGAGATAGAATAGTGTACATCCACTGGGTACACAAAATGTTTAGTTATTTTTCTTTCCGTGAAGTTAGCTGATATTGACAATCTTTGTGTGGATTTATGAACTTCATAAGTGAACTGCAAATAAGTGATATTCCAAGTTCTTCTTCATTTTTATGTAGAATAATCCCATACAGAGAAATCCCTGCTCATGAGCCATTTAATTGCACTGTTACAATTTACATTTAAAAAAAGTGATGTGCTTTAATCAACTACAATCACATTCCTTACTGATGGTCCATTGACATGACCTTGGTAGTCCTGACCCTGACAGCCATTGATAGCTCTGATTTCTGGGACAACAACTTGTTCCAGGCTCATTCTGTATATTTTCTCCTAAGACCTGGAATTTATACTTTTTAAAAGAACTCCTGGCCCCTTTATGTGGGAAATATT